AATAGAGAAAATAAAAATAGAGAACGTATAAGATCACGTGCCGCGCGCGTGCTACGTGCCGCGTCGCGCCGGAGCTCTCTATCGGGTGGGCGATCATTACTGCTTCGTGAATAGTGACGTTTGACGAAAAATAATTCGTCGGACGTAACAAGCGTAAATTCTAATACCTCGTGCAGAAATGCCTCCGACACGTGGTTTAGAATTGCGAAGTTGACCACAACCATCCTGTTGTGGTCCACAAAGTTGCGGTCCCAAAACATTGTTCGTATAAATTGGGGCCACGTCTTGGCGTCGCCAACGACGTCCTGGATCGACAGCCATGGGTTCTTATTAATTTGTTCGATGCTGTAGCACGCCATTTCGCCAATCTGAAATAGATGACAACTCGTTGAATCGTCGACACGTCAACGATCGTATCTGGCAATTGTAATAATATAATTTATCGCGACCAATATTATTTCTCTTACCTCTACTCGGGGGTCTCGAACAATTTCATCACCTGACTCTGTGTCGTACTTAGAACCGCGTACACACGGAGCGTGCGCACATCGCCACCTATGGTCGCGCTCGGTACGATTGGTTAATACTCGTAGATGCAGCCAATCGTGTCAAGATATCATTGACCGTGGCCAAAGTTTCAATCGCGGAACAAACTCTACTCGAAAATATAGTCTATTTTTATATTTCCATCCGTCTCCATCCTGTCGAGTGTGTTGTCTAAAGAGGTTAGTACGGCTCTGTGTCATGTGTCAAAAAAGAGCTCGAGATCCGATCCGAAATATAACAACGGACTGCGAATATCGGCCGAGGAGTTGACAAAACAGCGAAACGATCGCATTATAGCACATTAACACGCGATTGTACGCCAATATTTCTCGTCGCGGTATTTCGAGTAGCAACGTACGTCTTGTTATTCTCATAATAATTAAATTTCATTCTCCTTGTAATGTTTATTAAGCGATAGATGTATTAAATGTTTTACCGATATATTTTAGAGGAGCTGTAGACTATTACCGTCTATTTGTCTCTCTCAAGTATATCACAGATACATCGATACATTATTAGGAGAATAACAAAAAGTACATACATGGCTACATTACTTATGCTTTCTTCTCAATTTGCACGTCGAGAAGACACGTTTAATTTGTCTCGGAGTCGTCTTTTAGATACGTGTGTCTGAAAGACGACTCAAAGATGTCGAATAGACACGCGTGCTGTATGGCTTTGCGGCACGTATACATGTAAATCTGTTGTAACCAGTATACCATTTTTATGTTGCAGTTAATTGTCATGTCGAGGCCGCTCAAATTCGACGAGAGGGACCTGGAGGAGCCGGAAGAAATCGAGTGGACGTGAGTATGTCCGTACGCAAAAGTACGATCGTCGCGTCGAATAATGTACATCTGCCTTTTATTTCAGAGACGCTGGATTACGAACAAATTCGTACGACGTCGCCGAGTCCACCGACGACACCGCGTCGACCGTGGACGTCGACACATTGAGCCATTTGGGCGACCTGGACGACTTGGGCGACGTAGCAACGACGACGACGACGACGACGACGACGACGACGAGGACAAAAGTGCAAGGTAAACATTTACTTGTTAATTATTTTCTTTTCCTTTTCGTGCAACGAATCTAAAATAATTTTCTTTTTTCAGAAAGGAGGACGAAAAACGGGACGACGATGTCGAGGACGACGGGAGAGGCTCAATTGCGCACAGTACAATTGGACACGATGCAATTGCACACAGTGCTATTGGACACATAATGTTGAGCACAGTTCTTTTGCGCACAGTTCTTTTGCGCACCGTACAATTGGACACCGTTGCTTTTGGACACAGGTTATCGAAATATAATTTAAAACACACAGACACACGCGTATGCATGTAGAGCCCTGTTTGGAAATTTTGCTAATTTATAAATAATAAATCTTTCTAAATCAGCGTTTGTTCAATTGGACAATTCTTTTACGCACAGTTCAGTGTCGCACAGTTCAGTGTCGCACAGTTCAGTGTCGCACAGTTCAGTGTCGCACAGTTCAG